ATCAATCTAAATGCACTGCGGATGCGGCAGCAGTAAAGTATTAACACGGGCCCGGTGCAGACTGCCAGCACATATGGAGAACACTTCTACACAACTTCTGCATGAATTATGTAGCTCCTCTCCATGAATTATACCATCTGCAGTGAACTTCACTATTGTATTACCTGCTCAGTTTCCTCTGTCAGGTGGTTCTGGATGTGCTGTGTGAAACAAATTGGCTGCAGAAGGTAGCTCAGTCTGATAATACGTCCTTTTCATAATTTCCGTCATACATGGTGTTTTTATTTTATTATTTTATAAAAGTGAACTTTTTATGGGTAGGGCTGTGGTATGTGAGTTAGGTTAGGGTAATTACTTATATATATATATATATATATATATATAAAGCAATGGATTCCTATGCTGCTTATAACTATAGGTAAATGTGTGTCTTACGTGACACATACAGAAGTAAAAGAAAGGGGTTGATGGAAGCTGCTCAGAATTGACAGACAAGCAGAGACGGTGAGAAGCCGAGAAACAGACAGCATTCTCTGCCTGAAGGAACTGTCATTCACAAAAAGCTGAGAACAATAAGAAATGGAGGGAGGTGCAGTTAAAGTATTTAAATAGAGAGTGCTCTCTCGCTTTCTGTCTGTCAATCACACACAAACACTGCACCGGAGCAAACAGGAGCAATGCGTTTAAGGTGCAGCTAGACTAGACCAACCATGCCAGTAAGACGAACAAAGACATCACGCTGACAGATTGACTGATGAGCTATAAATCACACATGCATGCCCTAATTATTGTGCTTGTGCACCTCATGAACACAATTTAAAAGAAGCGTTCAGTTTACAAATTATTTTAAGGTGTGTTTATCAGTATAAATCATTTCCATACTGCGAACATTTGCTCTGTCGATCAGGATTTATGGTGTTTATTTATGAACATGACTGCATTTAATCTCAGCTCAGCCATATGATGATGGTTTCAGGGCATGACTTTTAATTTAAATCACAATGTAAATAATCCACACATTTAAGCCAATGATACATATAAGCCTAAAGAGTTTTCATTATAAACCAGATGCATGCACACACAGAGACCAGTACACAAGCAAACCTCTATCTTTCAAAGACAGTTGTTTATATTGACCTTGATAACCAAAGTGTCTGCATAATCAGCATAGTAACTACAATTATTGTTATTATACTGTAGAATGAAAAAAAGTCTTAAGATGCTTTTGCAATCGTTCTGTCAATTTGCCTAGTTTCTATGCGTGGTGTTGGCTAAGTTGTGGACAATCAGGTCTTGATGAGTTTGCTTCACAAAATCTTTAAAAGGGTGGTTCATTGGTTTTTTTCTAAGCTTGATTGTGTTTATGGGGTGCAGTCTAACATGTGTTAATGCTTCGTTTAAAAAAAAAAAAGCATTATTTTTCACATAATTTACCCTTATTCCACACCGCTCTGTCCCTTCTCTCAGAAACACCCTGATCATTTCCTTCTTTTATGAAGCCCCTCCCTCAGAAATAGGCGATGGTCTCTGATTGGTTATCTAGCACAGTGTGTTGTGATTGGCTACACCGCCTCTAGTGCGCATCTAAACATCCCGTCCCTCACCTCAGCGGCATGTGCTCCGGTTGTATTGTAAACAACTGCATAGTTAATATCGCTTAGGGTGACCATACGTGCCATTTTCCCAGGACGCGTCCTGGCCAGGTTTTCTATATTGCCTAAAATATCTAGGTTTTGGCTTTGTTTGCGTGTGCAGACCGTTCGGTGTATGACATCAAAATACCATACAGACGGTTCCTTATGCTTTCAAAATACTCTCGAGGTATTTTGATGTCATACACCGATTGGTCTGCACACGCAAACAAAGCCAAAACCTACATATTTTAGGCAGTATAGAAATCCTGGCCAGGACGCGTCCTGGGAAAATGGCATGTATGGTCACCCTAATATCGCTTATCAGTTTGAGCCCGATTGAGAAGCAGAGGATATTATTGAAGAGGATCGTGCAGAACCGGTGCAAGCACGGCTTTTAATGGTAGGCCTATGTTTTTTGTTCGTTGTTGTCTCATACTTTTAGATACGCTGTTATTTGTAAATGCTACTGCTTCTGTTAGCTTTTAATATACACGGTTTTATCCTGATTAATGCTTTAATACAGCAGGGCAACTGCAAACCATGTTTAACGCTTCTCATAGCTATGTGAAAATAAGTGTATAATTGGAACAGTTCATTTTTGGAGCTGAGCTGAATGAGAGAGAGAGAGAGAGAGAGAGAGATGCAGAGTGTGTGCAGAGCAGGGGGACGCGAGGAACAGTATTAAGAACCGCTGCTTTAGAACATTCATTTTGAAACTTGTGAATCATTAGAATCCTTAGAAGACAGAATCGCGATTCATATAGGAACAAAAATTATAAACGCAACCCTTTTGTTGGATCTAAGATCTAAGACTTTTTCTGTGTACACAAAAGGCCTATTTCTCTTATGCTCAAACAGCAACATTACACACTAACTAACGTTAAAAAAGTGAAATCGCAATCAACCACCCCTTTAACTTTAATCTTTTTACTGTACATACTGTATGCCACATTAACACATGGCATACAAACACCTGATATTGTATATCGTTTGTGGTCAACAAAGATTTTGTTCAGATGTTTTTGAGCAGGTCTAAATACAGTGGGTACGGAAAGTATTCAGACCCCCTTAAATTTTTCACTCTTTGTTATATTGCAGCCATTTGCTAAAATCATTTGTTCAATTTTTTTCCTCATTAATGTACACTAAATACTGAGCAAAGGGTCTGAATACTTAGGACCATGTGATATTTCAGTTTTTCTTTTTTAATAAATCTGCATAAATGTCAACAATTCTGTGTTTTTCTGTCAATATGGGGTGCTGTGTGTACATTAATGAGGAAAAAAAATTAACTTAAATGATTTTAGCAAATGGCTGCAATATAACAAAGAGTGAAAAATGTAAGGGGGTCTGAATACTTTCCGTACCCACTGTATATACATATCTGGCGAGTCCCTTACACAACTAATGAAAGTGTGTGTTAGCCAAATAAATGCTGACGAAAACCCATGAAAGCTATGGCTGCACACAGCGCAACAGGCTGTGACAAGAAAATTCTGTGAGCTAAAACCTACTTCACGCTTTTGGAGATCATTAAATATGTGGGTGGTACATGATATGGCATTGTTTACTCCACACTTTAAAAAATAAAATGTATTAGGATGTTCGGCTCTTCAAATCAGTGTTGTTACAGGGCTCTTTACAGCAGCAGCAAATAGATGATTTTCTAAAAAAATAAAAAGTGGAACGTACAGAGTTCTCGGATGTAAAACCTGTCTGCCATTGCATTGCCATCTTAATTTTTAAGAGCCTTGAGGGAAAATTCACTGATCAGAGGTTGCTGTTTCAAAACTTTGGAAATTTACTGGAGATCGCAATCATGTATTATTCATTCAAACAAATTCCTTGGAAACAAATAAATAAATAAAAAATAGATGCAAACAAGGCCATTCTTGGCATACAGCAAGACTACAGAGATATGAAAAAGGTTTGAGGTATTTTGGAGATATTTTGGAGGTCTCTTCTAAAACTCATGAGATTACTGGAGGGGAAGGAGCAGAATTCTCTATCTGAGCCTTATTCATCTCATTGTTTAGGAGAAACAATTAAAAGTGATCTCAATTCTGATCTTTCCATTGGGAGGTCATCTGAACGGGTATGGAGTGGTTCTTTCCTGACCGCTCTGTACAAACACACAACATAGTTCCAATAAGGAAGCAAGAGCAATCTCAACACAAACATTTTATCACTCATGATATTCAAAACAGCTGATTTTAATATTTCCATTGTATTTGGATAATTACGTGTTTAAGGTGTTTACATAACCTTCAGCAAAGCTATTGACAAGCTCACACCTGTCCACTTGTGATATTAATGCATTTAATAATAAAAAATAATAACAACCCTAATCACTACAATTTACTCAACTTTTTTTTTTTAAAGGACATCAAGCAAAGAAAGGGAAAATAACTATGTTTTCTTAACTACCCAGAATATTTATACATGAATCTGTGCATGTGAGAGTATGATTTGGAATATTGCGTCATTACGGCTACAGTCAAATCGAAACACGACGTTCATCAGAAGCCTATTGTTCTGTAGTGGATATAGTCAGTGTGTGTAAAGGTTAAGCAAGCATTTGACAAATTTAGAAGAGACAAACAGCTCTTGCTTTGATGAGGCACAAATCACCAGCTGACTGTTTTGACCAGATGATGCATTTTTTTTTACACTGGCAGCAAATCTTCAGATATTTTCTGACCAGAATTTTAGAAATCCTTCCTTAAAACCTTATCACTTGCTCAGTGAAACACCATGTAAACAAGTCACCTCATGACTGCAGAAAAGTTGAAAAAAATATATACACAAATCAAATTTCATAATATCCCTGTCATAAAATAAAGTTTCATCAGAACATCTGAATTGTTGCATTCTATAGTAGCGAACCCCAAATAAGCACTGTTTGGTGTATCGGGGACGTTTTGAGAACTTCAGCATTTCCTAGCAGCAGGTTGAAGCTGTTTCTGTTGATTTCATCAATGTCTGAACATGATGATCTTGATAAGACGTTTTCATTGACATGTAACATCCAATTCCGCTACACGTAATGGCACACAAAAACATTACAGACGCACAATCCAGGCAAATTCATGAAAAGAAAAAAATTCATTCAATATCTCTAACCTTGACTTAAGTTCAATGTCATCAACAGAAAATCCCAAACTACTACACATACAGATCTGTTTGCAGGGATTACCTTTACAACACATTTATTCTTGCTCTAACATGTCTTTCTCAGTCTCTTTCGTTTTCATGAGTAGGGCTTTATTCCAGAGGGAAAAGCTGTAAATGAAAATAAAACTCTTCTGAAACTTTCTAAACGTATTTCTTTGTGGTCTGTTAAAGCATGGTGGAGATCAGACTTACCTGATGTGGTGATTGAAGGTCTGGAGGGGAAGCTTGAACTGAGTGTATGAGAGCAGCTAGGTTGACTTGTATAAGTCAGATGTGTCTCTCTGTGTGAATAAAGAAGCCTGTTGCATTCCGCCTTTTCTCTTTCGCTCCCCCCTCCACCACCACTCACTCTACCTCCTCATTCGCTCTCTGGCGTTCTTGCCCTCCCTCTTTCAATCAAACGTTCTTTGCCACGCATGTCTTCTTTACAGCCGTTGTAGTTTTGTGCACAGTAAAGCGTCCCCCTGTTGTTGCCTATTACTTGTTGCTCTCTCTGCTTTTTCTCTCGTTCTCTGTCTTTCTCTCAGAAATCACGGAACTTTGATTCATAAATACAACCCTGGTCACGTGATGCGATACTTCAAATATACAGGCCTTTTTTTAGAAACCACAGAATGCCTTTAGGGATGGAAAATCAGGGCCAGAAAGCTTAAGTTTCCCTCTCTCTGCCCCCTCCACTGCTTCAGCTCTATCCTGCTACACGTCTCCTCCTATAGCATCTCTCCAGCCCCTCTCAGTTACCACCCGCCTTCTTCTGGGTGTCAGTTTCTACATCCTATTATCCTTCCATCTCCTTCCACGTTTGCTCGTCAAACTGCTTGCTCTGCTTTTCTCTTCCCCCTAATTATTTTCCCTCCATTTGCTCTCATGCCATCATGGTTTCTTTTGTCTATTGTCTTCCTTTAAGTCAGTTTTTTTTCATACCTTTCATGTTTCTACTAGATATTGTGGCTATTGTATTTCTCAACAAATCTCATGTCACTCTTTCCACTGAATTACAGTCTTAAAAATGAAGGTTCCAAATAGGGGGTTTTGCCATAGAAGAACCATTGTGGGTTCCCCAAAGAACTTTTCAGTGAAACTGATTTTGAGAAATTTGATTTGAATAGGATTTCAAAGCACATATGTATGAATGGTTCACATTTAATATGATCAGATTCCAATCAAATATGTCAAATAATAATAATAATAATAAAAACCTTGACTTTTCTATGACTTCAGAAAACTGGAACATAACACAGCTGTAAGGATAATTTTTATGATAGTTATATAATGTTTTGCATTCTTTTTTAACCATGGAGAATATTTAGATCTTCAACATTTCTCCTTTAGTGTTCTACAGAAAATATAAAGTCTTGTTTTTGGAATGACATGAAAGTTAATACACTTTTTTATTTTGGTCAGAACTATTTCTTTCATTCTTGCTCTTGCATTTCATTGCTGTTTTATAGACATGCTAGAGTCCTAAATCCGCAATGAAAGCTATATTAAACATGCAACCACACACATAAATGTGAAATAAACCTTTATGTCATCACTCATGCACACACGGATGGTGCTCTGTGGGCATGTCACAATCAATGTTTGTAAAGCGACTGTTTCCAGATAATGAACTCTTTGATTGGCACTGGCCCTTTGAGAACACTGCAATCATGAAGCAGACTGTTCAGAGATCAGATTAACAAAAAATAAAAAATGAACTATGCAACTCATTACAGGTACTGTAAAAGTTGTTTAGTTGTATCTGGTGTTATTTCATGGACTTAAACTGACACAGTTTAACAATGAATAGCTGTATTTTTATTAATTTTAATCAAGATTAATAAATACTAGAACAAATGTAACACTTATTGTTAGTTAATGCATTACTAATAACACTTTATTGTAAAGTCTTACCTTTAAATTTCTACATGTACTAATAAGTATACAAATATTTTATATGAAAAGTAAAAAAAAAAATGTTTTAGTAGAGTGATGTGAAAGTATAAAAAAATAAAGAGGAAGAGAAAAGATGAAAATACGATAATCAATTAGTCAAGTCACCTTTATTTATATAGCACTTTTAACAATACAGATTGTGTCAAAGCAGCTTTACAGTATCAAAATAGGAAAATAGTGTGTCAATGCAAAAGGACAATAGTAAACACTCAATTTTCATTGAATTCAGGGATGTTATCGTCCAGCTCAGTTCAGTTTAAATAGTATCTGTGCAATCAAGTCGACGATATCGCTGGAAATTAAGTGTCCCCAACTAAGCAAGCCAGAGGCGACAGCAGCAAGGAACCAAAACTCCATCAGTGACAGAATGGAGAAAAAACCTTGCGAGAAACCAGACTCAGTCGGCGGGCCAGTTCTCCTCCGGCCAGACGAACCAGCAGGTTGATCCATGCTGCAGCAAAGTTAGATTGTGCAGAGGACTAATCTGGTTCCTGTAGTCTTGTCCCGGTGGCCGTCTAGAAGACAAGGCCTTCACTGGGGATCTGTTTCTGGGGCTCATCTAGTTGTCCTGGTCTCCGCTGAAATTCAGGGCTGTAGAGGTCGTCTCTAGGTGCTGATCCACCATCTGGGCTGGATACGGACTAGATCTGGTGGCTATGGTGACCTCAGAATAAGAAAGGAACAGACTAATATTAGCGTAGATGCCATTCTTCTTACGATGTAACAAGTACATCGTATGTTATTGGAAGTATTCCCAGTTTTGATTGACCTAATTAATGCAGCCTAACAATCCTTTAACGGGTTTGAGTAATATAAATGTGTAAGTGTGTAAATGTGTAAGCCAGGTTAAAGAGATGGGTCTTTAATCTATATTTAAACTGACAGAGTGTGTCTGCCTCCCGAACAGTGTTAGGCAGATTATTCTAGAGTTTGGGCGCTAATTTATTCTTGCTCTAACATGTCTTTCTCAGTCTCTTTCGTTTTCATGAGTAGGGCTTTATTCCAGAGGGAAAAGCTGTAAATGAAAATAAAACTCTTCTGAAACTTTCTAAACGTATTTCTTTGTGGTCTGTTAAAGCATGGTGGAGATCAGACTTACCTGATGTGGTGATTGAAGGTCTGGAGGGGAAGCTTGAACTGAGTGTATGAGAGCAGCTAGGTTGACTTGTATAAGTCAGATGTGTCTCTCTGTGTGAATAAAGAAGCCTGTTGCATTCCGCCTTTTCTCTTTCGCTCCCCCCTCCACCACCACTCACTCTACCTCCTCATTCGCTCTCTGGCGTTCTTGCCCTCCCTCTTTCAATCAAACGTTCTTTGCCACGCATGTCTTCTTTACAGCCGTTGTAGTTTTGTGCACAGTAAAGCGTCCCCCTGTTGTTGCCTATTACTTGTTGCTCTCTCTGCTTTTTCTCTCGTTCTCTGTCTTTCTCTCAGAAATCACGGAACTTTGATTCATAAATACAACCCTGGTCACGTGATGCGATACTTCAAATATACAGGCCTTTTTTTAGAAACCACAGAATGCCTTTAGGGATGGAAAATCAGGGCCAGAAAGCTTAAGTTTCCCTCTCTCTGCCCCCTCCACTGCTTCAGCTCTATCCTGCTACACGTCTCCTCCTATAGCATCTCTCCAGCCCCTCTCAGTTACCACCCGCCTTCTTCTGGGTGTCAGTTTCTACATCCTATTATCCTTCCATCTCCTTCCACGTTTGCTCGTCAAACTGCTTGCTCTGCTTTTCTCTTCCCCCTAATTATTTTCCCTCCATTTGCTCTCATGCCATCATGGTTTCTTTTGTCTATTGTCTTCCTTTAAGTCAGTTTTTTTTCATACCTTTCATGTTTCTACTAGATATTGTGGCTATTGTATTTCTCAACAAATCTCATGTCACTCTTTCCACTGAATTACAGTCTTAAAAATGAAGGTTCCAAATAGGGGGTTTTGCCATAGAAGAACCATTGTGGGTTCCCCAAAGAACTTTTCAGTGAAACTGATTTTGAGAAATTTGATTTGAATAGGATTTCAAAGCACATATGTATGAATGGTTCACATTTAATATGATCAGATTCCAATCAAATATGTCAAATAATAATAATAATAATAAAAACCTTGACTTTTCTATGACTTCAGAAAACTGGAACATAACACAGCTGTAAGGATAATTTTTATGATAGTTATATAATGTTTTGCATTCTTTTTTAACCATGGAGAATATTTAGATCTTCAACATTTCTCCTTTAGTGTTCTACAGAAAATATAAAGTCTTGTTTTTGGAATGACATGAAAGTTAATACACTTTTTTATTTTGGTCAGAACTATTTCTTTCATTCTTGCTCTTGCATTTCATTGCTGTTTTATAGACATGCTAGAGTCCTAAATCCGCAATGAAAGCTATATTAAACATGCAACCACACACATAAATGTGAAATAAACCTTTATGTCATCACTCATGCACACACGGATGGTGCTCTGTGGGCATGTCACAATCAATGTTTGTAAAGCGACTGTTTCCAGATAATGAACTCTTTGATTGGCACTGGCCCTTTGAGAACACTGCAATCATGAAGCAGACTGTTCAGAGATCAGATTAACAAAAAATAAAAAATGAACTATGCAACTCATTACAGGTACTGTAAAAGTTGTTTAGTTGTATCTGGTGTTATTTCATGGACTTAAACTGACACAGTTTAACAATGAATAGCTGTATTTTTATTAATTTTAATCAAGATTAATAAATACTAGAACAAATGTAACACTTATTGTTAGTTAATGCATTACTAATAACACTTTATTGTAAAGTCTTACCTTTAAATTTCTACATGTACTAATAAGTATACAAATATTTTATATGAAAAGTAAAAAAAAAAATGTTTTAGTAGAGTGATGTGAAAGTATAAAAAAATAAAGAGGAAGAGAAAAGATGAAAATACGATAATCAATTAGTCAAGTCACCTTTATTTATATAGCACTTTTAACAATACAGATTGTGTCAAAGCAGCTTTACAGTATCAAAATAGGAAAATAGTGTGTCAATGCAAAAGGACAATAGTAAACACTCAATTTTCATTGAATTCAGGGATGTTATCGTCCAGCTCAGTTCAGTTTAAATAGTATCTGTGCAATCAAGTCGACGATATCGCTGGAAATTAAGTGTCCCCAACTAAGCAAGCCAGAGGCGACAGCAGCAAGGAACCAAAACTCCATCAGTGACAGAATGGAGAAAAAACCTTGCGAGAAACCAGACTCAGTCGGCGGGCCAGTTCTCCTCCGGCCAGACGAACCAGCAGGTTGATCCATGCTGCAGCAAAGTTAGATTGTGCAGAGGACTAATCTGGTTCCTGTAGTCTTGTCCCGGTGGCCGT